TTTAGTAGATCATAAAATCAATTAGTAGCAAAGTTGTATCAAGATTTATGAGATTTTTCCGATGTACCTTACAATTATACTTAAAAATTAAGTTTTATGTTGAAATACAAGTTGTTACATTTTAATTATAAAACATTATTATTCTGTATCCTCTTCAGCGCGGGACCCGGGGCGGTTGCCCCAGTTGCCCGGCCCTAGAGGCGGCTCTGAATTTATAACTATGACAAATATATAATTTTTCAAACAACGAAACGTGGCATTTTATTTATTACTATACACTGGATAGTAATGAGATTTCGTATTTTACTTCCGCTATTCCGTTCCGTTCCGTCGGAACAGTTCCGGAAGTGATATAGCATTTGCCACTTCTACGCCCTCTGCCGGACGAACTATAAAAATATATTCTTTCGATTGTAATTTCTCAAATATCGTTTGTTTTTTATTACAAAAAACTCGATTGCTTACGATTAATTTCGTGTACAAAATTTTGTTTTTTTTTTTTGCATGCCAGTACGCAAAGAAAGTAAAATTTTCGCGCGGAAGATCTGTAGCAGACGACATTAACAAAATCCATTCGAGCATGCGCAAATATAAAGTTTTGTTATTAGACTTGGAATATTGGACGAATGGTAAATTTTATATTATTTCGGAATCGTAAATAAATTTCGGCATCAAAGTGATTAGATAAATTTTCAAGCGAAAGTCCAAATTACATTTTATTCCCTCTCCGTAGTGTACAATGATGTACTTTTCACCACCGCCTAACTGTACAGGTGATTAACGGATGGGCCCTATTTTACGTCATTTTGACGTCATCTCTTCAATTTTACAAGAATGAATTTTTCAGAATGACGTCATTTTGACGTAAAACTGTGCACTGTCTTAACCTTTTAAACAATTTTGCATTTTATTGAGGGGAATACTTTTATTTTTCCAGTAAAACATAGAATTAACAATTCTACATTTTTAATTAAGAATATGTAACGTTATAATTTGAAACGATAAGTAAAATAGCGAGATAAAAAGTCGACAAGGAGAAGCACGACAAAACAGAGAAGTAACCTCTAGCGGATAATTCGAGAAGTAAGCTTAAATCGACGTGATGGAGTCGTGCTCTGTGTCTGCGTTATAACATGAACAAAACGAAATGGCACATGTGCGTTTATGAAATGTCCGGTTCGTGCATCATTTGTGTAGAATTACCCGGTTTATTTTCTTCTGCCCTGAAATCTAAAATGGAAAATGTACGTTGCGTAACATTGACTTCGAGATATATTATTATTATTGGTTAATGGGAGTATAAAGATGAGTGTATTGCCTCTGCCTTCCGAAGTTGTTTGCAAAATCCGTTCGGGAATAGCAATTACGAGCTTCGGCCAGTGCTTGAACGAATTGGTGTTGAATGCCATCGATGCTTTTGCTACGAATGTTTGCGTTCGTCTAGATTTATCTTCTCACAGGATATCAGTCAAAGATAATGGAAAGGGCATTCCTTCTGATCAGCTGCAATTCATAGGAGAAAGGTATAAAGTTGTTAATAGATGTTTCCTTGTGAAATCCTCAATATCAGTTAAATGTGTGGCTAACTTTAAAATGAATTCGACAATCATTATGATATTAATTGGTTAAAGTCCAGATGCGTGTACCTTCATGGCAGCTCATCTCTGATTCCAGCAAACAAAAGAAAGGAAACAGTGGGGACACACGTTCTAACCTAACCTAACCTATTCTAATAATTTGGTTGGTAATAATTATGGTAATTTATTAGAATAGGTTAGGTTAGGTTAGAACGTGTGTCCCCACTGTTTCCTTTCTTTTGTTTGCTGGAATCAGAGATGAGCTGCCATGAAGGTACACGCATCTGGACTTTAACCAATTAATATCATAATGATTGTCGAATTCATTTTAAAGTTAGCCACACATTTAACTGATATTGAGGATTTCACAAGGAAACATCTATTAACAACTTTATACCTTTCTCCTATGAATTGCAGCTGATCAGAAGGAATGCCCTTTCCATTATCTTTGACTGATATCCTGTGAGAAGATAAATCTAGACGAACGCAAACATTCGTAGCAAAAGCATCGATGGCATTCAACACCAATTCGTTCAAGCACTGGCCGAAGCTCGTAATTGCTATTCCCGAACGGATTTTGCAAACAACTTCGGAAGGCAGAGGCAATACACTCATCTTTATACTCCCATTAACCAATAATAATAATATATCTCGAAGTCAATGTTACGCAACGTACATTTTCCATTTTAGATTTCAGGGCAGAAGAAAATAAACCGGGTAATTCTACACAAATGATGCACGAACCGGACATTTCATAAACGCACACGTGCCATTTCGTTTTGTTCATGTTATAACGCAGACACAGAGCACGACTCCATCACGTCGATTTAAGCTTACTTCTCGAATTATCCGCTAGAGGTTACTTCTCTGTTTTGTCGTGCTTCTCCTTGTCGACTTTTTATCTCGCTATTTTACTTATCGTTTCAAATTATAACGTTACATATTCTTAATTAAAAATGTAGAATTGTTAATTCTATGTTTTACTGGAAAAATAAAAGTATTCCCCTCAATAAAATGCAAAATTGTTTAAAAGATTAAGACAGTGCACAGTTTTACGTCAAAATGACGTCATTCTGAAAAATTCATTCTTGTAAAATTGAAGAGATGACGTCAAAATGACGTAAAATAGGGCCCATCCGTTAATCACCTGTACAGTTAGGCGGTGGTGAAAAGTACATCATTGTACACTACGGAGAGGGAATAAAATGTAATTTGGACTTTCGCTTGAAAATTTATCTAATCACTTTGATGCCGAAATTTATTTACGATTCCGAAATAATATAAAATTTACCATTCGTCCAATATTCCAAGTCTAATAACAAAACTTTATATTTGCGCATGCTCGAATGGATTTTGTTAATGTCGTCTGCTACAGATCTTCCGCGCGAAAATTTTACTTTCTTTGCGTACTGGCATGCAAAAAAAAAAAACAAAATTTTGTACACGAAATTAATCGTAAGCAATCGAGTTTTTTGTAATAAAAAACAAACGATATTTGAGAAATTACAATCGAAAGAATATATTTTTATAGTTCGTCCGGCAGAGGGCGTAGAAGTGGCAAATGCTATATCACTTCCGGAACTGTTCCGACGGAACGGAACGGAATAGCGGAAGTAAAATACGAAATCTCATTACTATCCAGTGTATAGTAATAAATAAAATGCCACGTTTCGTTGTTTGAAAAATTATATATTTGTCATAGTTATAAATTCAGAGCCGCCTCTAGGGCCGGGCAACTGGGGCAACCGCCCCGGGTCCCGCGCTGAAGAGGATACAGCATAATAATGTTTTATAATTAAAATGTAACAACTTGTATTTCAACATAAAACTTAATTTTGAATTGTAATTGTAAGGTACACTGGAAAAATCTTATGAATCTTGATTTCTTGATACAACTTTGCTACTAATTGATTTTATGATCTACAAAAAGAATAACTGTTTGATGTATAAATTTAAATATATTTGTGTTTGTTAGTGTTCTATTAGTAGTTTTTTTTTATAAAAGAATAGTTGCCGTAAAAATAATCAAAATAATAATAAAAGAAAAAATAGTTTTTATAATATAAATTGTAAGTTGGCCGTATGTAACTTACAACAAAACTAGGCGCCAAGTCAGCGTAGTTGTAGTTAGCATTGCATAGAACATTTATACACTTGAGCATACTGTAAGCTTTTAAATGTTTTAATTGAACAAATTTATGCTACTTAATGATACTAAATAGAATTAATTGCAACATTCGATGCAAGAATGGCAGAACATAGGCTATAAGACGTATCAAAGATAAAGAAACAAACGATCATTATTTAAGTTGGAAAATTCAAAATGAGATTAATCAATCTGTTGGAAAAAAAAGTTAAAAATGAAATAATAAAAAAAAGTAAATGTTATGCAGTACAGTTAGACTGTACTACCGATAATAATCATATTGAACATTTGACTCTCATTGTTCGAGTTGTAGAAATGCCTGACGAACAAGAACGAAATGAAGTTGAAATTAATGATTATTTTATTGGTTTTTCTCCTATTTCGAAAAGTACAGGGTTTGATTTATCAGAGGAATTATTTAATTAACAACTTGAAACTTTAAATATTTCAATGGACGATTGCCGTGGACAAGTTTATGACAATGGGGCTAACACGGTAAACAAGAGAAAAGGCGTGCAAGCAAGGACTTTGGAAAAAATCCGACAGCTTTTTGTGTCATGTTCTGCGCACAATTTCAATTTATTAATAGGTGATATGACTTCCTCGGTTCCTATGGCTATGACATTTTTTGGAACACTTTCAAGACTGTATACACTATTTTCCATGTCTGCTCACAGGTGGGCTATTTTAATGAAACATTTAACAAATTCAACTCTAAAACCATTATCATATACACGTTGGGAAGGCCGAATAAATTCTGTGAAGACAGATTTTATTTAGATAAAATTATAACAGCATTAGAAGAATTAAATGACGTGACAAAGGATTCTAGTGTAAAAAGTGAAACAGATTCCTTGAGAAATACGCATGACTCTTCCAAATCTGGCCATTAGTTAAAGAATATTATTAACAATTCCGATTTCAACAGTATCGACAGAACGTAGTTTTTCTAAATTAAAACTAATTAAAAATTATTTATTTACGGACAACAATGTCACAGGAACGATTAACGAATCTGACACTTTTATCTATTGAGCACGAAATATGTCAGGCCGGATGGCCGAGCGGTTAAGGTGGCAGCCTACCGCTCTGGGGACTCGGGATCGAATTCGGAGGGGTCAAGAAATCCTCAGGAATTTTTTGGGGCAGTCCGTTCGGATATGTCGGGCCCCGTCCCTCACCACCCGGTCGCTCCATTGTGGGCCTAGCCGAACCCATAATGGGCCTACTATAAGAGGCCCTCTTAGTGCCACAGGGCGGAAAGTATATAAAAAAAAGCACGAAATACTGTATGTGAAAAATTAAACTGCGATGGTTTAATAAAAGATTTTGCTGAAATAAAANAAAAACTTAAGTTTAAAAATTAACAAGAACTGGATAAAAATACTGTAAAAGATTTTTTAAAAAGAAAAAAATTTTGGAAAATGAAAAATTCTTTGAAAAATAAAAAGAATTTTTTGAGGATTTTAATGAGATGTTTTGGAAAATAGTTAAAATCTTACTTCGCAATTTTTAAATAAGAATGCATTGGTATGCAAATCATTATAAAAGAAAACGCCATTAGATGCTGAGAACTAAAAAAATGAAGTTTAGTTGAGTTGTTCAGGTAAGAACTATTACTAATATTAAATAAGGACAAAAACGATTGATAAAAGGAAAGTTTAATAATATAGATTGTATACGAATTAGTGCTGATATTAAACAAGAACTGTGCTATATGTCCATCATACGGTTTTCTCAGTGTTTCTGGAAACATTCTGTGAATAAGTATGTAGGGATAAATTCAGTATATTGTTTAATTAATATCTTGATTCTTTTGAAGATTTTTTGAAAGAAAAAAATTTTTTGGAAGAAATCTGGGGGAAAAAACAGTTAAGAATCTTACTTTGCAATTTTTGAATAAGAACATATTGTTATGCAAATCACTATACAAAAAGAAAAACACCACTAAATTCTGTGAGCTGAACATATACAATTCAAGAAAAGTGAAGTGAATAAGTATGTAGAGATAAGTTCAGTATATAGTTGGATATCTAAGTGTTAAGTATATTAAGTGTATTACTTTTTATAAGACTTAATAGAAGTTTGAGAAGTCTTTGAAATCCAGTAAAGTCTAATTGCGAAAGTCTAGGTCTTGTATGTACCAAGTAGAATCAAAATTTCAGCCTGGTAACTGAAACGGTCCAATATATAGTGTATGATCCCCGCGTGTGGAAATACACCAAAAAGATGGGATCTGTGATTTTAAAAGGTATGTCATGTGCTATTTGTATAATTAACAGTTTTTTAAATTCATATGTCAGGTTATGATGTGTGTAAAAATTGGTTTTATGTGTTTTTAGTTGACTGAGGAGAGGTGAAACAAAGCCCGAAATGTGTGTATAAGCGCGTATCAACAAAACTGAAATAAACGAATGTTGTGCCAAGTGTTGGTTATTANAAAAATAGTTTAAAACTAGCTTCGTTTCTAAAATACATTATATTGTACCTTAGTCTTGCCTTATTTTTGTAAGCTTGACCTTAATTAAAGAGACAATGAACGACTTACTTTCCGAACAAATCGGTTCACGAACTGAATTTCAAACTCATAATTGCACCGGTGTCGAACAATAAATCGGTTTCCGAACAAGTTACGCGGTAAGAGCCGGTCACAGATTAGAGAGACACAGATGAGGAACGTTCGTTAATAGTAGTCGTTCCGCCAACTAGAACCTGCGTTGTTGTTTGTATTTGGGAATGACGGTGAAAAACAGATGGCGGCGCCAGTACTATCGATAGTATCGTGCTAGAGGAATCTGCGATTTAAAAATATGCATTTTTGGAAACAAGTTAAAAGAATGGTCTCAATTGTAAAATTTAACCATAAAATTGGATTGTCTTTTTTTAAAACTCTTTTCGCCCTGTGGGCACTAAGAGGGCCTCTTTTAGCAAGCCTATTATGGGTTAGGCTAGGCTAGGCTCTCAGTGGGACGGTTCCGGATGGTAAGAGGCGGGGGCCAACATATCCGGTCGGACCACCTCCTGAAAAATTCCTGAGGATTTTTCAACTCGTCAGGATTCGATGCTAGGTTTCCCAGAGCGATAGGCGTCCACCTTGGCTTCTCGGCCATCTGGCCGTCAATATTAACCACTTATGTCCCAGGACATAAATGTTTCCAAGGCGTGAGGGACACCAAGCACCCCTCACTCCTCACATCTGCCCGTTGCCAATGCATTGCTACGGCACTGACTTGCTGCTCACTAATTTGGATTATCAGAGTGAAGATATGTACAGTACTGTACAGTACAAATGTATGCAAAATTGAAAAACCAGAGCCTGAGTAATTTGGATTTGAAATTTTCGGTAAAGGTGAAGATCAGACGTAATTAATTAAGGTGCGTGCAGTAATACTGCATTGTCCTTGATAAACTCTATAATAGTAATGAACTTGTGACAGCACTTTTCCCCTTAATAATAAAAAGTCATTATCCACATGTTAAATTTCGAATGTGCTAGTACGAATACGAAAACATTAATTCGTAGAAAGTTCATTGATTCCAATCTTAAAGCAATTTATTATGACATAATAACTTAATGTCGCGTGCACCTGAACAAGTTACAGAAGTCGATGATTTATTGGAGAATTAAATTCATTTTTTATGGAAATTAGACTCGTTTTCAATGAATACCGTCAGATTTTTCGCATTGGTGTGCCAAGAATTTCTTAAGTTCTCAATTATATTTAAATTATTTATGTAGTTACTGTTTTACGTGGCCGTGAACTCTGGCAAGATATACAGAATTACAGAAGCAAAACGTGCAAATAAATGTTAATTTATTGTTTCAATGATCAAAAGTAATTATATTACCGTTTGGAACAATAAGATAGCACGCAATTAGTATTTACAGACATAAAAAAATTTGTTCTTTTGACAGAATTGCAATGCTGGTAGTCAATTAATTTAGTTTCCTTTATGAATAATAAAACCACCAAACACTGGTCATGGATTCGCACCTGATCACGTGGAGTTTTCCGGGTTTTCTTCACCAGATCTTCCTGTGACATTCACGTATGTAGCATTTACTAGTTTCCTATCGAAAGACCTCCCGAGAGGTACTCCTCCTTGGCAGACCAATCCTTCTATTCATATTTCGATTGTTGCCTTAGATAAATTAAAGAACTACATGACGTATACAATATAATTATACCTGGTAATAACAACTCTCCAAGATTTGATAAACTATCAAAACAGGTGAATAGATGAAAAGAAGAGAACACTTCTCTAAAAGTTGTTATCTAACACTTCTCTAAGTTATTATCAGTTCTTAATTGCCAAAGCAGTAATCACTACAAGGATAAAAAGACATTAACCTTCTATTTTTCTCTTCCTTATCGCATTTGTATTTCACTGTACTGTATATTATGTAGCCTGTATAATCGAAGAAAGAAATACCAATTTTAAACTACTGTCTATTCTACTGTCTGCGAACACATAACACGTTTAAAGAACTGTCTAAGGCTGCGTTCAGACATGCTTTTATTACGTTACGTTACGTCTGGACAATCAAATAAGGTATTATTTATAGACTTCTTCTTCCTAAATATTCTGAAATAAGGGCGCGTCATATGCCGGAAAATACGATAGTTTGTTTTATTTATTTGTCAATTCTGTCTTGTGTATACCAACGTTGCATATATTCCACTAATAAATCAAACAGTTACAAACTTTGAACTATTTTAGAAATATTAAAAGCATTTATTAAATGAAAATGTTAACCTGTGACCTTATAACTTTGGTAGCAAATTCCATTTTGTAAAGTTTTTGTGCACTCCGCCTTTTTTCCGTGTTGCATAATTAACCCAATGTTTCTTTAATTGGAAGTCAGCTGATTACCAACTCCACCCAATTTTGTTCGAGAACACAAAATATAATCACGTGATTCGTGTGCAGTTATTTGAAAAAAAAAAAATAGTTTAAAACTAGCTTCGTTTCTAAAATACATTATATTGTACCTTAGTCTTGCCTTATTTTTGTAAGCTTGACCTTAATTAAAGAGACAATGATTGGTCGACGAGAAAGAAAAACCAGTTAGATCTTGCGTCATTCTTCTTCCACTAGCTCATTATGGATGACGCGAGAATTCTTGTTTCTAAAGAACCCCTCTGATTCATCAGATAACGGAAGTACTCCCAGCCTTTGATCTTTTATTAATATGTCTACAGGCCTTTTAAAATATTCGACTCTTATATAAACTCAAAGAGAATTTTCACTTTGATGGCCGGCATTTTCACTTTGATTTAAAAAACGAACAGAACTCGAGTTAAAAATAGGATTCATCTCCAGTCCTGGTTGCAGACGGGAGGAGGCCCTTTTAAAGCATGATCTGGTGGACAACCACCCACACCGGTGTCATGTACAGTACATACGAGACATTCCAGACGATGCGGTCAGACAACCTGACTGATAATTACGACCTTCACAGTAGTTAAGGTTTTGTTTTGTTTCTATTATGTTTAAACATTCAATCTACTTAGTTACAGAAACGCTGTAAATAAATAAATTAAGTAATTTACCTAGAGATAAGGGTAATGCGGTAAAATTAGTTATCTCGACCTCGATTCCTCCCCCTTTATTTTTGCCGTTTACGTGTTCGATATAAGGTAAACTGGTTGATAGACGTCCGATATGCTAATAAGTCTGCTGTACTGTACGTAACAAAATTGTCGTATTGAAAAACACGTAATTTGATTTATTTGATTTGACGGGCCTTCTTATGTAGCCTTTCGTTCTCAGTATTCTAGTGTTTGAATCTGTACAATTCACATAGAAACACGAAGTAATTTAGTTCGTCCGACGAGGTGTATCGAAACGATTTCGTGCGTGTTACGACAATGCGTGACTATCACTGTCTAAAATCGACTGCAGTCACTTCGCGTGGGCAATTCTTTTTTTTTTTTTTTTAATTTTTAGAAGCTAGAAAACAGATAAAAATTACATTCTCACACTACTAGAAGTCGAAGAAAGTCCCAATCAAAGAGCACGTGAATGCGACATTAAATAAATACTAACTCGCGTACACTAGAGTCGCGTGTTAAATTTTTCGAACGCATCTCTTAAGGCTATTAACAATCGATCCTTTGTGTTTTCAACACGAGAATTTTTATTTATGTATTGTTTAAACGATTTTACGTAATAAAGAAACCCATAGAATGGGGTAGACTTATAGGATCTAGTACAAATTTCTATATCTGTATAGCGGGGTATCGAGCGATTCGGTACAGTGACACGATAAAGGATGACGTCACCTGTAACATCACGCCATGCGAATCGCCTTCTTTTATCACCTGAAAACACGTTATTCATCGAGTACCAGTTTGGTCGAGAGCAACGTTATCGACGAAGGGGTTAAATCGGGCGCGTGCGCTCTCTTCCGACGCGCAATCTAATCACACTACAGTTATGGTGGACACTGGATAACGTGTCGTCACAGTTTGCGTCACAATTTTCGTTCGCCTTATGTCCTCAATTTCTCGTATGGTAAACAAAAACCCCGTCTTAGGGAGTGAGATTTTTCGTTTCTGTACGGTTCATTTTCTTGTTTTTTGTAACGATCCTGGAAGAGCAGAACCCGGGAAGTCCGACGGAACCGGAAGTTATCGATCTAGACGACAATAACAATAACAGAACACCAGACTAGTTTAAACTTCCAAATTTGGCCAATCGGCTTTTGGCGTAGGGGAGAGGCGTATCTCGAAAGTCTACAGTGGCTCGTCTTCTTTACTTACAGAACAGAAGCGGAGAGAGGAGCAGGTAAGTATGTAAACTCTGTTAGTATAAACACGGAGCGCGTTTTTAACTCTGTGGCCCGTCGCGCACCTTTCAAAAATTTCCATATTTGGCCAAATTTTCCCAACTACCAAAAATGGGATCGCTTTAATTGTCACAGTTTCCATAGAAAAATTTCACGCGAATTTTTGCGTTAAATTTCTAAGGAATTATACTTTTGTATTCTATCCGCGTGTGTTTATTCTTTGTGTTTACAAAGTTATTTTGATCTGTCTGCGTTTTTCCGCTCTACAGAATTGTTTCTAATTTAAAATTCTTGATTTTTTTCTTATTGAATCAGATCTTTTTTTTGAACATTTTTAGTTTCCTTGTATGAAAATTCTAAATAAAAAAATTTCCGGTCTAAAGTTTTAGATTTTATCTGCATCTTTTTGCTTTTCAATTGAACAAAATGAAATTATTGCACAATTAATCATTTTTAATTGAAGAATAATTAAGCAGTAATATTGTTCTTAGTTTATCTTTTCTAAGAAAACAAGACATAAAAGTTTTATTTATTTTAATACAATTAATTTGAATGATTTCCAACTCTAATTCTTATTTTATGAAGATTATATGGAGATGTTTTTTTAGAGAAAAAAAAAAATAAAACAAAATTCAGATGTACAGTACTCAAGTGCTTGATGTTTATATACCTATTTTGGAGAGAAAGAACTCCAATTAGATTCTTGAAAATATGTATCCAAAACATACAGATTTCTGAAAAAACACTTTGCATCATCAAGCATTTGCACACCTTTCAGAAGAAAAAAATTTATTTTATTGATATTTTCTTCAAGTACTCTTGTATCCACTATTGAAATAAGCTGCTCTCTGATATAAACAGTGTACCTGATGATGGTTGCTAGAGCATTGAAACATTTAATAAAATATGTTATTTGCTCCTTAAAATAATGTTTGTTTATGTTTTTTGTGTTTTCCATCGTTCAAATGTCTTAATCTATCATCATCACTTAACTGAATATGACATATGGAATTTAATGGTTGAATTTTTTTTATTTCTTTCTATTTGTGTCATATCATAGTTAAAATCACAAATTTGATCCTTTCTAAAACATTTTTTTCTTCAGTTTCTATCTTCACAGATATTTTTTAAAGCTTTTGATTCTCTCATTCTTTCTGAAAAGATCTACTTCAATTATGTTTAATATATTTGAAGTATTTAATTAGCTGTTCATATTAATACTTAATATTCTGATAAATTTTTGTGATTTGATTTAATCTACTAAATATAACTATATATAAAAAAAGACAATTAGTTTATATAAGTTCCATATTTGAATTTAAGATTATATTTAAATTTCATATGTCTAAAAAGTTTTCTTGTTTATTTAAAGAATGCCTTCCAGATTAGAACAGATGCAACTGCAACTTAGGCAGAAGTTAATGCAAGAAAAGGAAGAAAAACTTATTAAAATCTATAACAGCAATCAAGAGAAAGTTTTAAGCAAGCTGTCCAGATCGAACGAATTGCCTCGGAAAGATGGAGAATCTTTGAAAACGTCTCCCGTGACACGTGTTCCAGAAAAGACCTTTCCCGTCTCGGTGACTTCGTCTTCCCGAAATCTTCCGGTGAAGAAGGGCAGTCCGGGAGTGGATCGTTCAAGACCACTTGTACCCATTCGAAAGCCAAATTTGGGTGGTGGTCACAGTTCAGTCAGTGGCACCTCGTCGACGGTGCATAATGGCACGGGACCTTCAGACTCCACCAAAAAGAATGCCAAGTCTCGAGCCAATGTGGAAGAATATAAACGAATGAGGGCCGAAGTGAAACGGAAAGAATTGGATTTAGTGACAAAGATTAAAGATCAGCAGGGTAAACCTAATGGAACTGTTCAGGAAATAAAAGTAAGATTTCATGATAAGTTTTATATAAATTTTACTCTGTTATATTAATAATGTACAACTGAAATATTAATTCTATTAAATCTTCATTTTAAATATATAGATTTATTCAAATAATTTTTTATCATCTCATGTAATTGTTTCTGATTAATGATATTTAATTATAATAATACTGTATTATTATTGATATTTAATTCTAATTGATATTTGGTAATATAACTAGTGTTATATTAATAACACTATTATTTATAATTACTATTTATTTGGGAGTGATGTCATAAATGATTCTTTCTAATCTGTTTTTATATTTTATTTATGTGTATATCATATTTCTAGTTATGACTAATTGTAATTGGAAAATATTTTCTAAAAGCTTCAAATTACTTTTTAAAATTTATTATTTACTGAATTTTTTCCAGTGATAAAAGAATCTTTCATTTGATAAGATGAGTGAAATAACTCAAATATTTGGATTTTTTGTAATCAATGCCATTTATTACTCTTTTAAAGCTTTGTTAAATATCATATATTTTAGAGTTGTAAACTCTATTTTGAAAATTGCATATTGATGGCCAAGTGGATAAAACCATCAATTACATGGTAGACGGTTGCAGTTTCACATAGCATCAATGGGCTAACCGCAGGGTTTCTTGGGTTTTTTCTTGTGTCTCACTTAAATTGGGGCCAGTTTTCCATTGAAGTCCTTCCAGGAAGCACCCTTGGATAGATCATCCATGTTATGCATTTCCTTATCTCATCAATCTAACAATCCTATTACAAAAATTGTTCAGATATGATGTTAAAAAATCTAAAGTCATAATATGCATAATGTTTTTAAATTTTTGACTCAATATGCTGTTACATTAGAGTTATTTCCAAATTTAAAAAGATATTTGAGCTGTCTTAAGAGCAAAACTGTTTCTACAAGGAAAGGATACAAATTAAATAATTATTTAAGAATTATACATTTTTGCATAACATGATACAAGTACAAAAAATAAATGGGTATTTGGCATTAACATTTATAAATATATTTGTCAATCTATATTTAACATAATCATAATCATATACTTAATTTTGTATTAACAATTTCAATAAATGTCATTTTGGATGCCTATTGTTAAGTATTAAATATAATATATTAAAAGTAGAAATTGCCTCAAAACAGTAGTATAATTTTAGCATTTTACCAATGATATTTACATGTTAATACACTTCTTCAAGAAAGAATACATAAAAACGATATGTGTACAGTACATGACAAATTTCTATAAAAAAGAAACAAAAACAATAGTATAAAATTAAAATAAAATTATAAATAATCATATTGATATGTTTAAGTTCATTATTTTCAAAGGGATAAAATTCATTTATTATTTACAGTTCTATTAATGATAATTGTAAATTGTCATGAAGCAAAAACCTCACTCTAATCTAAATCTTACTGATGATATAATTACTGATATATATTGTCTGATAGAATTGCAAAAGGGACAATTCCAGTAGACTAAAATAGTTTACTCTTCTAGAAATACTTTAAAATCTACTAATTTACCCTTAGCCTAACCATATACCAAATATTATATAAACTGAAATAAAAATTTTTCAAACAATATTATATTTAGATATTGCTCCTTGTAATCACATATTCATATTTTTATTTTGTAATTAATCATGATTTTGATTTCAATAAATTATAATTAAATGAAAATGAAAGTTCATATTAATTTATGAAACAATTTCTCAGCAGACACTTCATGATTTAATATTAATTACAAAACAGAGAATATAAGTGACATTTTACATCTACACCTGTATTTTTGAGTATAATCTGCAAATGATGTTTTTAAAAGGCAATTTCAAAGAAAGTGCATAATTATGCAATTGGTGAAATTATATGCTGCTTTTTAAATTTAAGTAATGGTCATTCATTTTATCTTCAATGAACTTCTGTAGTAAACCTGGACAGATCTGCCTTGCCCAGAATAAGATTAAATTGTAATTATGAACTCATGCCTAGGAGTAATTGTTCCTCCCATGGTGTGGAATACATGGTGGTATAGCTTGTGTGAAGATCTTATTTTTGTTCTAGCAATTTTCTGTGGGTTTTATGCACAAAAATGTTCTAATTTTTATTAAAGTACCATTCTTACAGCCATATTCACAACCAATAATTAAGAGTTAGAGTCCAATAAGTGTTCATGTACTGAAAATGGATAGTATTTGATTAACTTCAAACTCTAACTCTTGATCTTCGGTTTTGAATACGGCCATTAATGTTTCACATTTCATCATTAAATAGATGATGAGAAATAATTAATCAGAGAAAGAGCTATTTGATTAATAAAATTTTTAAAAACTTGTTAGAAATTGTAACGATGTTACATATATTGTATATATTTTTTACTTATATTAAAACTATAGTTATTAAGTAATGCTTAGAAAAAATTTTTATTACATTAAAATTATGTAAAAGCACTTGTTAAATTATTTAATAGTATCCTGTACATTAAAAACATATCTTGCTTTTTATTGACTTTTATTTGTTTTATTAATTGATCTTTTTTTTAATTCTTAAATGATTATAGCTTTATAGGTTCTCAAAATGTTTTTATTTTTCTTACTATTAATTGGTAGCATAATTTCTTCCCAATTAATTTGGCTGTTGGTTGGATGATTATTTCTTATCATTAAAACCCTGTTTAGTTAATTAGAAATAATAATCAGTATAACTAAAAATTAGTCTGAAATTAACCGACAATAATTTATTTGGCTTTTTTAAAATAATTTAAATAATGTTAATGATATTGTATTTTAAATCTTTTTCTAATATTATAACTTATAAAAATTCAAGAGGTTTTGTTACATAGCCTCATCTAAATTAAAATTTATATTTTTATATTTTATTTTTATTTTTAACCGTTTATAAATTTATATGTAAGCTTGATTTGTCAATTTATTGTAAATAAAAATGTTTTATAGTAATATGTTTATATAACTAACAATAAGAATGTTTTTGATTAAAGCTAGATGAGTTTGTTGAGACTTTGAAGTTATATTACATACTTTGTAATATTTTCTTTTAAATAATAATAATAATTTTCTAAGTTCTTTTGATTAAATAATTTTCATTTTTTAAAAATTTTGCTGTAACTATATTAAAAAACAAAATTAAGACAATAACTATTATAAGAAAAAAAAATCACTTAGACCAGATTTTTCTGCATATTAGTCAGTCTTGGACATTCTAAGAAATTCTGTTTCAAACTATAAATGATAAAAAATCTGGATTTAGTAACTCCTGAGTAACTAAAATATTTTATAGTTTTTTTATTATAAATATTACTAGCCTTCAGTTGTAAATAGAATCCATACAGTAAATTCTAAGGAGGAAAGGGAAGTTATCAATGCATAGAAATATACTTCCGTATTTCCGTGCATTGATAACTTCCCCTTCCTCCCTAGAATTTAAGTCTGATTATATTTCTCAATCACTCTTTAGTATATTTTGGTAAGTGGTTGCCAAAATATGGGTCTACCTATATCCAAAAAATGGCTGGAAATTTTTCTGGATATGCTACATCTTAATTGAACATTGGTTAGGTGTTAATAAAGATAACTGTGTTTCTATTTCTAAAAATTATATAAAGATAAAATATAGAAAAAGTTTTCAAGCTAAAACAATTAAATAATTTTATATATATTGTTTACTAAAGATATTGAAAAGTAATTCATATCAGCCTTAATTCAGTGATATGCTTATGTTAATCAATGGATAAAATTAATTGTATACAAAAAGATATTGTACTTTAATGGCTTGTTCCTTTGTTTTCAAACTTGAGCCAAGTGGAAAAGATGACAGTGATGGATTCAAATATAATTATAATTGATGATGAACATGTCTATATAAGTTCATTGATAGTGTTACATAAGGTCAATGTGAACATTTTTATATGTGTCTAATTAATATGTATATGTTAGAAATCAATGTCATCATTCTGTAAGAATTTATATTAGAAAAATGATTAATTTTAATCAGATATTTATACTAAAATATCCAGCTAGTTAAAAAAGCTAAAGTTTAAAATGTGTATCTATCATTGCAAGGGACATGGTTTGAGTTTGGATTAGAATATTAAAAATTTTCATAAGTTGTCTAGCCTGGATATGTTGGACCCTACTCTAACTGCCACATTTACAATTGTGGTTACAATTGTAAATGTGCCTGATGGACAAAACTGAAAGGTCCTCTTAAATCTAAAGGTGGAAAGAGTTAAGAAAGAAGATTATAGATAAAATGTAACAAGAAAATTAAAATAATGTATAGAATATATAAATGAACATTTTTGTTGATGTTTTTTTTATATCACTGCAAAAATTCTACTGTTAAAATACTTTCAATTTTTTTGTAGTCAATAGTTTCAACACAAAAAAACAGCAAAATGTTTGCTTTCTTTAAAAAAATCCAATAAATTTAAATTATATAAATGCATAATACAGATATTTAAATTGATATATTCCTTAATTGTATAGTATTTTATTTTTTTCAGTGTTTGTAGAATGTTTGGAGAATATCATTCATTTTAAATTTTTATTTAATGGGCTATTCCATTTTAATTCTTTCCATATATTTGCAAATAATAAAAATAGAGAGATTGCTTAAAGAAACATTGAATTAAATGTAGAACAAAAAAGTTAAATGTAGGCTATTTTTACATACATAAGGTTTATTTCTGAATAATTGTTTATAAGTTATATTTCAATTTAAAAACTTAAAAGGATATATTTTGTTGCTTATGCTATAATTTTTGTTAATGTTGTTTACATAAAAAATAAACAAAGTTATTTGAGAAAGTTATTTTAAGAAGACAAAATCCAGAAATGATTTTTAACATCTGTTTATCTTCTATGGTAAATGCAATATGATAAAATATAAAATAAAAAAGATTGTTAGAATTAAGGCTTGAACTTCTTGAATTCTTTTGATATTAATGGGTTGAGAT